CTGTTGTTCTTCATCTCTGACCCTCCTATCTCTCTCTCTTTTTCTCTGTATGTGTAGTGTCCAGTTTAATACCGTACAGCCAGAGGATCTCACACACACACACACACACGCACGCACGCACAGGCACACCCAGACACACACACGCACGCACACACACACGCACACACAAGCACACACACACCTGTCTTCATCTCATCCTCACTCACCTTCAGAGTCTGTTCTGTTTTAGAAAGGGTCACCATCACACCTACAGTGAGCTCTACTCACACACACACACACATACACACATAAATCGTTCATGTAGTTTCCTCTCTAATCAATGCAGTCTGCTTGGATTTGCAAAACCCAAAATGAATATAGATTTGCTGTTCACTTGCACACTAAATTATGCAAAGCATAGTGTTTTATTTCCTGGTTCTTTGGTTGTTTGTGTGAGCGAGGAACACTGCGGCTCTGGTCTGACCGTATATCTGTAAACACACAGGCTCATTATCACACTCTTCACACTCACTGTGACATCTGAATCTCACCCTGATCCAAACCTGCAATCCACTCCGTTCTCTGAAATGTAATGCAACTCTATTAATACACACATGCACATACACACACAGATGTGAAGCTTTCGACACAACACAGTCAACACAGTTGATTTGAGTTTGACATTAGCATAATGCTACATTCATACTCATACAAAATGGCAAAATAACAGGTGACTTCACATGTTATTTTTGATTAAGCAGGAAGGCAAAATGGTTGGTTTGATAATATTGGGCCTTTTTCAAATTTATTAATATTATTATTATTATTATTATATTTTTTAATCCTGCTTAAAGGACCTTTTTTTTAAAAGGAGAACTAAAAAAATTATTTTGTAAATTCTTAAAAGAGAATTTACAGGTGTTTTGGCTTTCATAATTAAACTTTATTTATTTGGCTGCATTTATTTGATAAAAATACACTACAAACAGTAATATTGTGAAATATTATTACAGTTTAAAATAGTTGTTTTCTATGTGAATATCTGTTAAACTGTAATTTATTCCTGTGATGCGCAGCTGTATTTTCAGCATCATTACTGCAGTCTTCAGTGTCACGTGATCTTCAGAAATCATTCTAATATGCTGATGTGCTGCTCAACAAACATTTCTGATTATTATCAATGTTGAAAACAGTTGTGCTGCACAATATTTTTGTGGAAACTGTCATACATTTTATTTTTCAGATTCACAGATGAATAGAAAGTTCAAAAGAACAGCATTTATTTCAAATAGAAATCTACTATAACATTATAAATGTCTTTACTGTCACTTTTGATCAGTTTGCATCCCTGCTGAATAAATACATTTATTTAGTTAGTGTACTGTAGATTTGAAAGTGAAGTGACGTGACATGTGGCCAAGTATGGTGACCCATACTAGGAATTAGTGCTCTGCATTTAACCCATCCTAAGTGCACACACACAGCAGTGAACACACACACACACCGTGAACACACACCCGGAGCAGTGGGCAGCCATTTTTTGCTGCGGCGCCCGGGGAGCAGTTGGGGGTCCGGTGCCTTGCTCAAGGGCACCTCAGTCGTGGTATTGAAGGTGGGAGAGAGCGCTGTACATTCACTCCCCCCCACCTACAATCCCTGCCGGTACGAGACTCGAACCCACAACCTTTGGGTTACGAGTCCGACTCTCTAACCATTAGGCCACGACTTCCCCAATATTTAGTCTAACAATAGTGTGAGTTTTGGCCCTAATGTTGGTGTGTGGAGGAGCTTCATGCAGGGACGATGTGTTCAGATGCTGTCTAGTTAGGCAGCTCACTAGGGTTTGGAACGGAGCTGCTGTACTGTCGTTCCTTCAGTGCCACCCAGACATCCAGACAGAGAGGCTGATATGAAAGGACAAGAAACACGGTTCCTGTTCGCAGGTATGAGACGAGAACTCACGTCTTGGCACAGTGTATGTGGAGTGATGGCGTCTCTGCAGTGTGTTGTGGGGGATTCGAGGTTGAGTTTGGCACAATTAGTGGCCATTCATGCTGACACAGAGACAGAAGCTGCTTCACAACTACACAAACTAATGACACCACTGAGCAACCAACCACGTCACTAACAGAGAGCAGATATTCAACTGATTTTAGCTTGTTATTTTCACCTGAAGATCTTGATTCTTAACAATATCAGTATCTTCTCCTGTAATTGATACAGGATGACATAGAAAGATTTGAGAACACTAAACTGTGTGAATGAATCGCAGCAGCTCTGGCAGTTTTGTGTGCGGTATTCAGAGGCGGACAAAGTACTCAACTCCATTACTTGAGTGAAAGTACAGATACTGCTGGTCAAATATTACTCCATTACAAGTAAAAGTTGTAAAGACAGATTTTTACTTAAGTAAAAGTACAGAAGTACTTGCTTTTAAAAGTACTTAAGTACCAAAAGTCAATTTCCTTTTTTATGTCAATGCACTGCTTTATTGTTGTACATAGTACTTGCAATACTTCTGAAGCAACTTACGATACATTACACCTACTGTACAATATTTGTCTTTCAAATGTAGTGAAGTTAAAGTCATAAGTTCCCAGAAAAAATAATACTCAAGTAAAGTACAGATACTCAAAAAGTGTACTTAAGTACAATACTCAAGTAAACGTACTTAGTTACTGTCCGCCTCTGGTGGTATTTCAGCACAAAAATCGTGCATTTTATTCACTAACCATCTGAAATCTCGTTTAATGGCGCTAGCAGGCTAATACTCTGAAACAGCGCTGTGCCATTAGCATTAATAAAGTCACTGGCATTTTTTTCAACACAACACGTCTCATTTATTTTAGGCTCATTACAGATCGTGCCTTATTCACAGAACTCAGCACTATTTGCCTGCTGCAATTAATGGTGTGCTATTACTGTCAGGCGGTAAACAGAATTTTATGTAAAATAGATGTTTGTATACAGCAGTAATTTACCAAATGGCACGTCATGCGCATGAGATGAAGTCTAGAGCACATTCAACATTTCACTGAGGCCATCAGGTCTGAATGATGCTCTGGGCTCAGTAAAGTATGGCAGATTGTGGTAAACCGTGTTCGCATTTGTGCTCTTAACTGATTAGCGAAATTCCTTCATTACATCAGGTGGCAGAACAATGCAGAATGCAGTTTATCTGAGCTGTAGGCGGTCAAGTGGAGTCGATTTTTATTTCATTTTCTTGCCTGTTTCAGTTTCTCGTTTCTCCATGTAGTTAATAGGTTCTCACACCTGTTTTGATGTACCTTGATTACACTCCTCTGTCTGTGTAAGCCCTCAGTTTCCTGTGTTAGTCCAGTATCTTTTATGTGCTTCTGTCTCCTAATACAGGGAGTACTGTGCTTTATCACAAAAACAAACAACAAAACAACATGTAACACAGGCAGGGTCAGAAATGAACTTTTCAATTAAGGGGCGTTTGATTTTCTGAGGCATTTGGCATTTTCAAATGTTATAATTGCCTTATTAGATATATCTTTTTTTTGTCAAATATTATGTCAAATTTAATCAACCACTATACTATATTGTAACGAGGGAGGCGTCGTGACGGAGTAGGATCCACATGCAAGGCTTTATTATTAAGAGCGTGGTCAGAACAGGCAGGGTCCAGTAACAGCAAACAGTTATATCCAAAACAGAGGCAAAAGAGTAATCCACATAACAGGCAACGGTCAGGGCAGGCAGCAAACAATCAGAATCAAGGAAACAATCCAGAGTCAAAAACACTAAAGCAAGGCAAAAATAAGAAAGTCGGAACACGCGGGAAACTAGGAAAACATTCAAATCACCAGCGATCTGAGTGTGTGTGTGTGCCATTCTTATAGTGTGAGACTGATGAGGTGATGAAAGACAGCTGATTGCAATTGATGATGAGTCCGGGCAAAGGATTATGGGAAATGGAGTCTGGGGTGAGTGGTAAAGGGTACAGGATGGGGTGCCCTCTAGTAGAGCTCATGGGCTCTCCAGCTAGAGATCGTGACATATATACTGTTACAAATCAAATTTTCTTCAACAAAAGCCATCTTTATAATGCAAAGGTGGAACAGCACGCTGAAACTAGGAAACAAGGAAGGCTAAACATTCAATCACCAGCGATATGAGAGTGTGTGTGTGTGCCATTCTTATAGTGTGAGACTGATGAGGTGATGAAAGACAGCTGATTGCAATTGATGATGAGTCCGGGCAAAGGATTATGGGAAATGGAGTCTGGGGTGAGTGGTAAAGGGTACAGGATGGGGTGCCCTCTAGTAGAGCTCATGGGCTCTCCAGCTAGAGATCGTGACATATATACTGTTACAAATCAAATTTTCTTCAACAAAAGCCATCTTTATAATGCAAAGGTGGAACAGCATTTGTATCCAACATGCATTTATGTTTATTTGCACAGATTGTTTAATGCTACTCATGTACATGCATTTACACAAAAATTGCATAATATAGCCTATAAATGAAAAAAAAAACATCATTATAATTGCTCTTAATATTGTAATAATGTTGAGTAATAGAAAGCTTCATATGCTGTAGAATGGAAAAACAAAAAGCATGAAGCTGAAGCACCGAAGCTGCAAAATCTGTCTGTTACTTCCATCTTTTCTGCACTTTGTTGTTTATGATGATGAGAGCAGAATTCAGTCAGTGAGCACACACTACGCTCTCCACAGTGACGAATTAAAACACATTCGACATTGCAACTATAAGCTCAACAGAATCGTGTGAGATTGGTTTTAATGCTCAACGCTGCAAACCGCATGCAGACAGAAATCATCAAGCAGCGTGAGCACATCTACTGTAAATGTGATGCCGCAATCCACACGTTTCATTCGCTTAAACATTTCACTGTCATCATGACAGCTGTAACAGGTCTAGTTTAATTATGCTGGGGCATTTCTGCTCATTATTCCTGACCTTGGCTTTGGAAATGAGGGACACTTGCACTGATTTAATTGTGTATGCACCTTTTTCTCTTGTCTGTGTCTCTCAGGAGGTGCTCCAGACATCCCAGAAGATAAAGTGTTTGAAGGGCGGAGGATACGAGCTGCAAAAGTGAGTACTGTGTGGGAACATGAAACAAGAAGAAGCTGGCAAGATAGTGGAGTTTCTGTTATATACATTATTTTCCTCTCGGTACTGATGCGAGGGCTCCCTCTGGTGTGCAGCTCAAGTGTTACAAACCTAACAGATTTTCTTCTCTGTTATCCATTTCATTTATCTCAAAGGGAGATTTCCATCATTTCACATATCACAAACTCCTTCTCTAACAGTTTATCCCAGTAGTTTAATTCCAGTGAGAATCTAGTTGGGATTCAGACCTGTGTTTTTGTAGACAGAAGCTGTGAATTAATAGTTCGGTGTCAAACACACAAAACGGTAGTGATGGGAGAAACACACCTTGAATGAACTGAACCAACTGCTTCACAAAATGTCACTTCGAAGCGCTCAAAACACCACACACTGGTGACGCCTGCTGGTCAAAACTGTTTACATGTAACAAAAACTCAGACCAAAACATGCATAAAAACAGCTTTTACAAACCCATTGCAAATGTTTTTTTGAAACTATAACATATGTGAGCCTGCAGCACAAAAGCAGTGTTAAGTCGCTGGGGTATATTTGTAGCAATAGCCAACAATACATTGTATGGGTCAAAATTATACATTTTTCTTTTATGCCAAAAATCATTAGGATATTAAGTAAAGATCATGTTCCATGAAGATATTTTGTAAATTTCCTACCGTAAATATATCAAAACTTAATTTTTGATTAGTAATATGCATTGCTAAGAACTTCATTTGAACAACTTTAAATATGATTTTCTCAATATTTAGATTTTTTTGCACCCTCAGATTCCAGATTTTCAAATAGTTGTATCTCAGCCAAATATTGTCCTATCCTAACAAACCATACATCAATGGAAAGATTATTTATTCAGCTTTCAGATGATGCATAAATCTCAATTTTAAAAAATTGACCCTTATGACTGGTTTTGTGCTCCAGGGTCACATATTGCATGCAATTAACATCATCAAATACCATTAAATATGAAGTGCCTGTATAATATGTTATTTTATTAATTTGCAGTGCTTGTTTTGTTTGTTTTATGGAGGGCTTTTCTAAACAAGCCATTAAGAGACTATTAACCACTATTCTTCCTTTTACACAAATGTCTCATTACAATGTATACAAATTGATAAAACTGATCTGGGATCAGGTAAAAACCATATATAATGAAGACATAATGAAGCCTCGTTTACTGAAATTACATGATTTTGTCAGTTTTATACACACTCCAAACCACTGCTTCAAAACAAAAGGGTTGCCAAGGTTTCAAAGCCTCATGAAGCAGTGCTTCCCATCACTACAAAACAGGCAAAAATAATAATTTCACTTATTGCCATGTTATTCCATTGTGAATAGAGGTGAAGGAACAGATCTGGTTCACTGTCTGTAATGGATGGCTGGAGCTGGAGACTTGTCTAGTGATCGGTTGGATTAAATCAACATGCTCCTCCTGAGCGCCATTTAAGTAATGGTAAAAATAAGAACAAAAACTTGTCCTTGCATGTGTTTGCGTGTTGCTTGCATGTTCATCTCAGCGTGACAGTGGAGCTGTATTCCTGTGAGAGTGAAACAATGTGGTTTCCCACCATCTGTTTTTTTGACTGTGAAGTAAACAAGACTCATTTCAAATATTAATTAATTTGCTAAAGAAAGTTAAATGTCAACATCATCATTAAAACACTAAACCGATTTTTAAAAATGTAAAAAAAATAATAATAATAAATTAATTGTAGAATGTGCTTGTGTTGTGTGAATGTGTTTGTTTTAGTCATCAGATGGTGACAGACATGGAGAATAACCTCACAGTGAACACACATCCACTGGAGAGCACAGTACTGATGTGAGTATATGATCAATATCTCCATCACTTATACTGCAGATATCACATTGCCACGGGTGATTATCATTACCGGTGCTCCACTGTCATGGGGGATTATGGATATTACAGTGGACTAAATTTTTGCTATCACTTTATCATGGTATTCCTTCGTTAATTTGCAATTAGTTATTATAAGTAAATATAGCTATTATCAGTAATTTCTGTATTTTATTGTTATATGTGATTATAGGTATTTTATTATCAGTACCTCCTTATGGCTTCAAAATTCACAACAGTTGTGTTAAGATCTTCATGATGAACAAAATGTGTAAGAATTAGGGATGGAACAATTACCGGATTGATGATAAATCATGATAGAATTCCCCACGGTTAGTATTACCATTTCATATTTTAATTATCATTAAAACCGTATTAAATTATCATGATTTGAACAACTCAGGATAAATAAATGCTATCCAGCATAAAGCAGAGATTTAAGTAACAGCACAGCACACAGAGTAGCCTAGTTTCGTTTTGTGTGAAAACATGGCGGAAAGCTGTGAGGTTTTAAACGAGTGCTAAGAGTATTATACAAATGAATATATGAATGAATTAATTACTGTATATGAATGTACCTCTGAAGATTCTGACTGTCTTCAGAAAAGATTGGATGGCATTTTGTTTTCACCTTCGCTCCATGTAATAGCTAATAAACTAGTGTTCTTTACGGGAAACAGCTGTAATTCTGCTGCTGCATCAGCGCCACCTGCTGTCAGAGAGTGGATTTACAGAGACTCACATTCACATTCAGTCTGTGTGCAGTTTCTGTCTGGACAAAAACAGACCGGATTTACATGCCCTGCTGTCATTTATGACCGGTTGATGAAAAACAAGCTTATGTGGATTCTGCACATTTAAACAATTCAGATAACGTATCTAGAATTATTTATGAAGCATGATAAAATACATATAATCATTTATTAATCAATTATCATTTTGACTTAACCCTTTTCTATATTTAAAGGCTGAAATGTGAGGTTTACCATTTTATGAAACCTTTTCAAAGCTGTATTTGAACATACATACATATTTCATACATACATACATATTTCATACATTTCATACTGTTGTCAGTCATGTTGTAATTTAAAATCCGGACATCATTGGTAATGTTATTGTTTTAGTGTTTATGCAAACAAAAAGTCATTTTATTTGTTCTTTGTTGTTTTTAAATATAAAACTTGGTAAAACGGAATAATTTCCAACACATTTGAACAATACGGTGATAATACTCATAACCGTTATAATTTTGTTCACTATAATAGTGATAAGACATTTTCATTCCGTTACATCACTACACTGTAAAACAGAGTGTTAGCAAATAAATCGTATCTTTGCTCGTGTTATCCATCAGCATCCAGCATGACTGGCGAGACTTCCTGCAGACACAGGATATCCTGGAGAAGAGAAGCCCCTCTCTCTGTCCTCAGACAAGATGAGCACGTCCATCAGCATGACCACCCTATCAGACGGCAGCACCCCCGTAAGCCCCGCCCTCTTTCCTCTTCCACAGGCTGATGGTGTAGATGCAGGAGTTTGAGGTGTTTGTCAGGTTTAGGTCAGTTTGGTCTGAAGGTCATGACGTTGTGGAGCATCAAATGTATTTGGTAATGCTTGTTTTCAGACATGTTCCCTGGTAGTAATTAAGGTATTATTTGACATACCTTTGACACACCTATTATATTATGTATTATATATTATGTAAATAAGGATATGGGGCAGTTGTTCTTCTGTGCTGAGAAGATTGTGACTGTTTTGTTGTTTGATGAAATCTTATGGAATCTGGATATCTCACACTCAGTTGAATATCTCATATGTGACCAGAAGAGGGATCTGTTATTTAGGCGTTAGTGTACAGTACAGGTT